TTTCTTCCATCTAAAAACAGCTTTTTATTCTGGTAAAAAGTTGGCAGCACTGCTCGCCGCACTTGCATTTGGGGCTCAATGTTTGCGCACAGCTGTGACAATGTCCAATACTCCATTGCCCCTATCCCTCCTGCCTCTCATACGCATACCCACTTTCCCCTCTATCGCTGTGTGCGTCCCCACATTTATTCTTATGATCATTGTTATTCTTATTAATGTTGTGGTTGTAGCTGTTCTTGTTGTCGCTGTAGCTGTGTGTGTGTGCGCATGTGTGTGCATGTCTGGTTGGTTCCCTCCTTTGCCTGCCCGCTGCCACTTAAACCATGCATTGCTTTTGTTTCACTTACAGCGTACTCAACATCAATTAGACAGCCATTAGGTTTGTTTGGGATCTGTTTCTTTCCACTGTCCCAGCATACATACATACATACATATGTACATGTATTGTCAATCTCATTCTCATTCTGATTCGCATTCTCTTGTCGTTGTTCTATTCTATTTCGTCTACATGTTCTGTGCTCTCTTTGTGCCACAACGGAAATCTCAATTACGTTGGTTTTTTTTCGCCGTTTCTTTTCTTTAATTTACTGCTCGATCCACTCCAGTCGTGTTGGAGTGAGCGAGAGAGAGGGTAGGGTAGATAGTGCAGCAGAGCACGCAGAGCGAAAGCTTTGCGGCGAATTGACATAATATGTAAGAATCGAAAATAAAAGCCAAATAGCAGAAGATCTATGTGTGTATGTGTGTGTGTGTGTGTGTGTGTGTGTGTGTGTGTGTGTGTATGTATGTATGCATGTGTATGTATGTGTGTGTGTGTGTATTTGCCTATACTAATATTCGTACATACATATGTACATCTTTCTACACATACATACATATGTATATTTGTGTGCATGTCATGAGCATACATATGTACATATGTATGTATGTATTTAAGTATATATGTATGTACCTATAGACCCACTTGTGAAATATATTCTATATTTAGTGGGCGCTGTCTCATTCTGTGCTTTTCACGTCTATTTTCGCCTCTTACTTCTTACTGTTGTTCATCTGCTTGAATGTCTCTTCTGGTGCTGCACTTTTCTCCAGTTTTTATTATATTTAATTTTTTTTTTTTTGTTTTGTTTTTTTTTTTTTTTT